GGGAGGACTCCTATACAAAAAGGTAAGGGATGCTCGTCATACCTTGTGGGTTAAAAAATATCGGTTTTGGTGCCTGTTAGGGCTCAGCCTCTAAAGGTCCACAACGGGAACTTTTGCGGTATCTTTTAGGGTATTGAACTGAAAAAAATATGACAGGAGATAATGTGTTGTAGTAGAATTTCCGCATATCTTGTATAATTCTGAAGTCGTTGAAGAAATGGTGCAGTGGCGAGAACAGTGCTTGGTCCGGATTCGAATCCAGCTGGTCTCCAGCTGTTGTATCGATCCATACTCTTTATTTTGATCCTTTGATAGATTCCGAGATATGACAATGTTGTTCTAAGAGTTAATTCCGTGTTCCGATAGATATTTTCCGTAATACAGAGATAGATCAATGTCCACGCTGGACTCCTTTCCGTTCTCTCCGATTCCTTTTCTGCACACGTTTTTCAAGTGTCAATCACGAGACTCGATTCAGACCTCGCAGGTCAAACCAGCTCCAGTCCCTAACATATTTACAACACCAGCTAACAAGAACACAGAAACAACTGAAAGAGTGATTCAGTAATAAGAAACTAGCTGAGGATTATAACTTCTTAAACCAGTCATTATTCATCCTATAAATTAAGAACTCTTATTCTGTCTTCCTAAATGAAAGCAATCTTTTTTCACAGAAACCTTGCGTTATCAAAGGAAAGGCGTGCTGGAAGCTGGCTGGAAGAGATGCCTGTAAAAAGCTAGCGTGCATCGATAATTTCTTCAAGTGCATTATTGCTAGCCACCCCACCCCTCTTCCTACCCTGACTCCTTTAGAGGTAAGGACATAACGTAACGTAACGATAACGTAACTTAGTATCACCCAACTAGTGGACTAATGCAAATCCTGCATTTTAATTGGCTACGCTACTGGAGGACTATTAGTAAAAGTCCTCGAGTAGCGAAATTGGCGCAATCGAGCATGACGCTTTCTTTCGTTTTATTTCCAAATAAATATTTCTTCAACTTGCATTTGCTAACTTTATTATTGCCTTTTCTGTCTGAGTAGTTGGYTGATACTAAAACAATTAGACCCTTCGCCCTCAAGGACCACGGGTCTAATAGTTAAATAGCCACAGATATCCTGGGAAATTTCGGGTCGTGTATTTCGCCCCAATACTAAGGTTAATTACTTGATTATATCTGTCTTTGTTCCTCTCACAGAAACTCTGTGTAGGCCTGCTTATTATGTGCAGGAAAGCTAGCCCTACCTGTGCCGGTGAAATCTGCTGCTTCGTTCGGATCAAGAGGTGCTTTGCTTTCAAGCCGAAGCCGACGCCTGGGGAATAAGTTCTCGAAGAAATGCCACACTGTTACCATGACAACAAATAGTACGATATCGACTGTGCAATCAGGCTCAAAAAGATTTTCTTCACATCATATATACTAATGTATCATGCAGGATATGGTATTGTAGTCAATAAAATAGACAATGCATGGGATTTTTGAGTGATCTTGTTTGTTCCCTTAATTTTAGAATCCCTAGAGACCTAATGCACGATATTGAACTTATATTACGTTAAAGATTCAATTTAAGGCCCTCAATGAGTGCTGTGCTGGTAATATTTGCCGCTCCAGTTAGCCCAGAGTTGAACTCCCACATAAAACGGACCGCTTGGATGCTCGTCGAAACTTTTAGGGGTTAAAAAAGCGGGTTTAGTAGCTCTTACGGTATTCATTCTCAAAAGGTCCACAGCAGGAGCTTTCGCGGTACCTTTTACGGTATTTGAGCCGAAAAAGGTCAATGCGCTGTTTTAAAATTGGTATCTCTTAGGAGTGAAAAACATTTCAATCCACGCCCAGATAAAAGGATCTTGGTAGCTGTCAGCAGTTCTTTTTGAAATTTCCAACGAGCACCCCCACATAAGGTTAGAGCCAATTAGATAATAACAAAAGAAGATAGTTATAACAAGCATAAGTCAGATCATACAAGTCCATTTTAAAATTATCAGTTATGCCGGTAGATGATTTCAACAACAAAGCTATAAATTCATTTACGGTCAGATTCTCTGCAAAATGCCCTCTTCTGACATCGAATATTTTTTTTCCGAATAAACAATTATTTCCAAAGTCATGATGCACCATTCCATCGAAAAACCACGTCGACCATGTATGCACCGGAAACTAAAAATATTCTACCAGGT